AGAGCTTGAAATGATTCAAAGCGCGTGACGTCAGAAAATCTGTTACATGAGCAGTTCCCGGGATAAAGCAGACTCTCAAAACGCTTGATCTCCTTAAGGTGGCAGAACGGTTAGGGAAGTAAAGGGAGGACAACTTACCGAGAAATGATAGTACGAAACTGGTAAAAGATGCAACCAAGCTCAGCGCATTAAAGCAAATTATTAACGTTTCCGCAGAGAACGTTTCTTGTCGCTGCTCACACTCGAAGCAGTGGATATTTGATACCGAAACAAAGTCACGTTGATTTGCATAACGTCCGCTTGACTGCCGATTAGAGACTCACCATGGGTCTCATTCGGAACATGCCCATCAGTCTCTTACTAAAATCAATAAGGAGCCGTTTATGAACCGACTAGTGATCATAGGTAGTGCGACGTATAAGTCACCAGGTAGCTCGTAATTGAGCCAGTTGTTAATCACTACATACAACATTCGAACCCAAACACGGATTAGCTGTACAAAAATAGCCCAAATGCGGATGAAATCTGTCCTAAAGCGTGATGCTGATGATTGATAGCATCAAGGATTGACCTAGCGGTGTATTAGTTCGGAAATGAGCAGCAAACACATCATGAATAATTGATACTACGCAGATCATATGCGGTGTATCTGCTCGCTCGGCCGCAGGAACTAGTTGGTTTAATAAAACAAAGATGTGTAAATCTATTATAATTGTAACAATAGTTCAACTGTACGTCCCCTGAACACCATATCTGAGTTTGTGCATACTCCTAGTCTGCAGATATCCATAATCAAGCCAAGACTAGAACGTATAACTTCATGGATGACGGCTTGACTGCTAGGACATGGGGTCCTTGAATAGAACATACGGAAAGTCCCGCTAGGAAGAAGCGGCATGTGTACTGACTTGGAGGCTACTGCAAAAACCCTCCATTAACGCACAGTGGTAGACAATGGGAGACAGTTGCATGTTCAGAAAAATGGTTATGGGCCACAAGGTGAACCAAAGGTGGTTGAAAGTTAAGAGCTAGCAAAAGCCGGTTTTGGAGTACAATCGTGATAGGTAAGACAGTAAAAGCTAACCGCGTCACAGATAAAGGCTCATCATCACGATTCAAACGCATCACAATGGTGACCCAAATCAGATCTCGGCACGTAAGCATACATTTTCATTGTTAAATACATTCGGACCATTTTTCGTGGTCTACCAGTCATGGTTGCATTATATCACCCATAATGCTGAAGCGCACGCAAGGCCTAAGTAACATTCGTCTAAACAACCAACTCAGTTGTGCATAGCTCATTCCCACTAGATTTGCTTGCCGTTAGCGACAAGATGAATTACTAGTGTTGCACCTAGCAGAGAATATACAAGTTTAACCTCATGCGACCCGTGTGTTGTACTGCGCTGTCAGTTCCACAGCAGGACTATTCTACTCGAAAACAGTTCGAGACCAGACCCACATCTGATCGTCAGGCATTTTGCCAAAATGGTCTGAGAGGCAAAATAGTGCTCAAGTTGCGCCGTATGATCCGTTTTAGCTGCTCAATCCGTCTGGTGTCATCCCACGCTCACCTCAGTCCGTGAGCCTTCTGCTACTTGCTTCTTCATGAATGCGGAGAACGCAATTTTATGCGAACGTACCTTGTTCGCTAGGCTTGACATGCCAGGTCGACTTGTATAGGTTTTCACATGCCAATGCATTCGTTTCTACGCATCGACCATGAGCACAACTCGCTACTGAAAATCAAAGACGGTTACGATCCAAAGAAATGCGGATTCGACAGTTTTCCACTGTGTGAGAGCACTCACTGCTCCATCTCTCCTATCGTAGACGGAAGAATTGCAATATCCAGCGCTATGTAATTCAATTCCAGTGCATGGCGCGCGGTTCTCACACACTAACGTAAACAATGTTATCTGGAGAGGAGTCACGTTCCGATCCATGCTATAATGCGTGACCTCACATGCGTATACCGTTAGATATACCGTCCAACAGAAACTTCAACATGGGCAGACAGAGGGCAAAATGTCTTTACATCTTATTTATTTCGACTGGTAACGGAAAGCAAGTTGGTACACTTAGCCCAACAAGCAAATGAGGCCAAATCCAAGGCGGCCTTTTACACTCGAACAACTAAATCGATTTTTGGCCCAAGACGTTGGTGTTGCTAGAACGTGAAACGAAGACCAATTTGCACACTCCAAACACGCATACCACAACTAAAAGTTGCAAAGTGAGTTTTCAATGGAGCAGACACCTGACTTTTAGTGACCCGTTTGTTATGCCACACATAGTTGAGAATTCAGTTGGTCACCTACTTAGTGTACAGAATATGAACTGAAGATATACTCTCACTGTGTACATATAAAGCTGTTAGCCGGACGATGTACTTACTAAGCCCCTCAAGCCGAGATTTCCGAATTGAGTGGTAGTCCTAACTGGGTTTTGAAATCGCAATTTGTGATCTGATTGTGACAAGACCTAACCTCGGAGAGGGGTTGGAAAGGAAGTAACCATCGGTTAGTTCGGACATCAAGGAAGTATCTGGAGTAAATAAACATTGGGCCTTGTTAGTTACCAAAACATCACACTATGGACAGTTGAATCTTTGTTCTTAATCCTATGGTAGAGATGGACGAAATGGAGAGTGCGACAAAGGGAGAAGAGATCTCTAGGAAACTTCCCGACTGGGCCAGTGAGCTCCATCAGCGGCACCAACTATGATGGTAAGAAACCCATTGTCGGTAGTTTGCAACAACAATCGCGTGCACTGATTAATGTCGAATTCCGAGAGCGACTAAGATTAGGATGAACCTTGGCCATGCACAGCATAGAGATCAGGGTTGTAGTAGATAAAGGTTAACTGATGCTTTCCCTCCCATGAGATACGTGGGTTGAATCAAAATTTATGAGCCTCAAAAGGCCAAGCGAGATCCAGTCTTTAAAATTTTTATTTTGCAGCATCATCATCCTCAATAGAAACACACTTGAGCCAGTGGTGCTGAAGCGCTTTTATCCCAGTAGAAAAGAACTCTTCAGAATGCGAAACTAAAAACATATCTACGGTTTGAAGGTCAGTCGTTGAGAAAATGCTTGTCAACTAAATTTTTCAAGTTTGGAAATTGGTGGATGTAAGAGGGAGCCAGATCTGGTGAATATGGGGGATGAGGAAGAAGCTGGAAGCCACAATCGTGGATTGTGATCAGAGCAATGGAAGAGCTGTAAGCTGGAGTTTAGTCGTGGGGGAAAATGGCTCGTCTCGTCAGCATTATTGGCTTTTTTGCTAAATTTTTCTCTCTCCGATTTTTCCCAGACGTTCCATTGACACCAAATGTCAAATGCCTTTCTACACAGAAGTCAGAAGACGTGGAACCCGTCGAGCAGAAACATTCGAGTAGCCTAAATCCCGCGTCAGAATATAATCGGCTTGCCGCTGGGAGATTCCCAACTTCTGCTACCTGACCAGTTGCTAACCGGCGATCTTGCATGATCATATCCACTACTAAGTAAAAATTTTCCTTGGTGGTGGCGGTTGATGGTCTAACGACATCAAAGGTGCCGTCGATTCGATTGATCGATGTGCCTTTCGGAATCGTCTACCCAGGAAAGGTGTGCCCGAGAAATATGTAAATATTATCCGAGCATTGTACGCGCGTAGCACGGGCAGAGTGAGAGCAAGCTGTCGTCATCCTTCAATATCTCCAGCGGTGTGAGACAAGGATGCCCGCTGTCACTTTTGCTCTTCAACTTCCCTATTGACGAAGAGATTGCATTTCCAGGACATGACTTGGAAGGTGTGGAGCTACTCCCATGAGAACGACTTCTTGATTTGGACTATGCAGACAACATTGCCCTCATCTGTGACAACTCCCAGACGTGCCAAGCCGCGCTGGACAGATTAGCACTGGCTGTCAGCCGCCTCCGGCTTTGCTTTACACCATCGAAATACAAAGTGTTCCTCCAAGATTGGCAGGGATCGCCTCCTGCGTTGACCCTTGGTGGGTACCAGCTGGAAGTCGTTCGGAAATTCAACTACCTGGGAAGTTGTATCAGCGCCCTTGGGATCGAAGACGAGGTCACGAACCGTATATCAAAAGCTCGAAGTGCTTTTGCTAAACTTCGCCACCTATGGCGGCGGGACGACATCACTCTCGCAATGAAGAGGAGAGTGCACAATGCAGCGGTACGTTCGACCTTACTGTACAGTTGCGAAACCTGGCCCCTAACATCGGTGGACATGAAGAAGCTAGTTACGTTCGAATATCGGTGCCTTCGCAGTTTGGCTCACATCTGGTGGGAACTTCGCGTGAGTAACGAACGTGTTCGACGCCTTGTTTAGAGCACAGAAAAAGGAACTGAACTGTTCAGCACCGTCATTTCACGCACCAGGCTCCGATGGCTGGGCCACGTGTAACGTACGTTATTCCATCGACTTCCACGACGTGCGTTGTTTGCTCACCGGGAATGTGGATGGAAGAGGAGGAGTGGTCAAACGATGACTTGGTCCAGAGGAATGAAGGCCCTCAGTTCGGATCTGGCCTCGGTTGGAGCGTCACGTCTCCTTGGTTGGGGTCCAAAAGACGGTGAACACGTTTGGCTAGATACACTTGCTGACATTGTAAGGAGCGGACCTCAGTGGCGTTCCTGCTGTGAGTTTCTTTGTCTCTCCCCATCCATTTTTTCCTCCCCCTCCACCTACGATGTCATTTCGTAGCGTAAAACATAATAATTTTTCTTTTTGCCTAGTAACCTGCTGGTAGCCTACCGGGACGATCCCTATCCGTTGGTGGTAGCTCAGCTGGCATGCAACAGTTGTATTTTCCTTTCCGTTTATGTATTGCAGGCACAGTAGCTGAGGTGTTTCCCACCTGTAGGTGACATGTATAATGATGATGATTGATGGTCTCCCTGACCTGGGCTCATCTTCAACAGTCTCCCTGCCGCGCTTAAACTCTTGCACCCAACGTTTAACTGCAGCATATGAAGGGGTATTATCAGTCAATGATTGAGCATATCTTGGTGGATTTCATTGCTTTGTGACGGAAAGATTTGATTAGTGGACGATGCTTCAGATTTTCCATTGTCACAGATTTGCAGACCCTGTTCACTCCAAGAACCTGCGAAAATGAAAGCAAAAAGGTAGGAATATGGATTAGTACAAAATGAATAAGGAAAAGTGATGGATTATAAGGAAACTTTGTTGGGCATGCTTGGCGGTTCGGCTTATGTGTTATGTTCGAAACTTTCCACTCAACTCACGTATTACTCCGAGACTTATTTACTCGTTGTTTGGCTTGGTAAGAAGCAAAAAGGATACCCGTCGAGAACCAAAACCATAGTTTCGTAGTTGCCACGAGCTGATCGGGAGTCGCAAAGTTGAGGAATTAGTCCTCGGATCAACGTAGATCGACTTCTCGCTGGAGAATAGCTTGGAATCCATGGAGCAGTTTTATCTAACACACTGAATCTGAATTAGCCTACGTAATATCGTCGTTATTCTCAGAACGTAGGTGGTATGAAGTGACAGGTGTGCTCCAACCAACCTGGTTGAACATGCTGAAGAGAGCAATCTCTCATAATTATTGAAGATACCTATTGCTGTAACACTGCAATACACGGCATCTGGTTGACAAGAGGACAGCGCCTCAGTCCATCCTGTTGCATCCGGTAGTCCTTGGCAAAATGGTGTATATCCATTGGAGATCGACCAAATGGTCTCATTTCCTAACATTCCGCATGGAATAATGTTTTGGCTACCTTTTTACCCCACTGCCATTACACTATTCCCTCCCTCATGTTCGCTCACTACCAGTTGTCGGATGGCCGACCAAATAACGCCACATTTGTGGTGTACGCAGAGCGAAGACCTCCGATTGATGGTTTCTGTGTTTGTTTAGCACAAAGAAAAAACTGGGACAACCCCAGCGGGGATCGCTATTGCGGATTATCGATCAACGCACGTGAATGACAGAGCAAGACAGGATAAGCAAAACGTGGAAACGAGGACTTCACCTGATTTCTGCCATATTAGTAGCGAGGTATTGCACTCTACCAGTGAAGACACTGGGTAGAAAGCAAATATTTATTTCTATGCCTGGAAACAGGCAAAAACGAATGAAACGTTTATGTCAGGTGATGATGCATCAGCCGGTGTCTAAAAAAGCGTGAGGTTAATTAATACGCCTGGTTGATATTAAGAGAACTATAAAATGTCATTCCTACACCCAAAAAGCATTTATTTAGCAACAGTCATTAGCATGTAAAATTGCATCGCTTTTCATCAGTAGATGTATCCAAGGCAAAGGATTGCATCCGACATAAGCAAAAATCTTCGAAAGCGCGTCATCTCATTAGAAACAAGGTTAGTTAACCCGCCGATGATAAATGAGAGAAGCGGAGGATAAAGAAATAAGTAGGCATATATCTGACAAGTTGAACAAGTTGGTACCGTGAGAAACAAGCCGATGCACATAAAACTGGCAGTACACTGGGCGAGTGATGATAAAAGTTAGTTTCACTTCAGGTTCGGATGGATTAATGTTTTGCTGCGTTTGCCCTATTTCACCCGCTTTCGGCTAGTTCAGTTTCTCCGTCACAAATGTAGGAGTATTTATTCAGCCACCTGAAATCCGCGTTTCATTTAGTTGCTTTCATCCGGATCTCAGGTCAATTGTGTGAGATAATGATTTCAACGGTCTGATGTGTGGAGTTAACAGCTGAATGCATCATAGATGTCCATGACTTTAACCGACCGGATGTTATTATCTCCATCCATTTTATCTGGGTTTGAATGGGGCTGTTTTCATCATCATCATACACGTTAGCTAGAGGTGGGGAACACCTCAACTACTGTGCCGCAATACACAGAAAAAATGCAACTGGTGCAAGCCGGCTGAGCTACCGGTAACGGATGGGCATCGTTCCGGTAAGCTACCAGCCGCCTGCTGTGCACCACAAAAAAGTACTACGCAAAATTATATAAGGCTAAATAATGAGATCGTGGTTGGAGAGGGAGGCTAAGAGCGATGGGGTGAGACAAACAAACTCACAGCACGAACACCACGGAGGTCGGCTCCTAACCATATCAGCAAGTGTGTCCAACCAAACGTGTTCATCCTCTTTCGGACCCCAACCAGGGAGCCGTGACGCTCCAACCGAGGCCAGCTCAGAAGTGAGGGCCTTCATTCCTCTGGACCAAGTCATCGCTTGACCATCCCTCCTCTTCTTCCATCCACACCCCCGGCGCGCAAACAACGCATGTCGTGGAAGTAGGTGGGGTGGCATGCATAACATGTGGTCGAGCCATCGGAGCCTGATGAGTGAAATGACGGTGCTGAGCGGTTCACTTCCTTTTCCTGTGCCGTAAACAAGGCGTCGAAAACGCTCGCTGCTCACGCGGTGTTGCCACCAGATGTGAGCTACATTACGAAGGCACCTGTTTGCAGAGCATTTGGAGTGTGCTCAGGAGTCTTTGTTGTCATCCACGAAAACGACAGAGTTGGAGATCCAGGGTTACTGTTTTTGCTGTACTTGCACGGGAACCGAGTGGAAATGGTAAACAGAACAAGTGACACAAATGGTCTTTTTGTATGCGAGTATAGAAGACAGATGGCGGGAGAGCCTATGATGCGCTGAGGCTGGTGGTGGCTAGATCCTGACAGATAGTCTACCCACTGCTGCTACTGCTGCGCCATAGTCTCATGTCCTAGGCGCCTCCACGTGGCGACCGCTGGGTGGGAGTTGGGTTTCGCCCTTCTCCCTGCTAAGATCCAGGACACCAATCCGCATGAGTCGGCTAACTGACCATGTGCTAGACTCGCTGCCTTTCGGGTGTTCATTTAATCGAAGGCTTTGGCTGAGGACCCGAGTCGTTCTCCTGTCAGGATTGGGCGCCCTGGCAGTACCCTAGTCCATCCTCTTCGGAGGTTAGGAAGTGGTCGATGGCCCACTTCCCGTAAAACCTAGCCATGGGAGACAACAGGTTTACGGGTTATAAGCTCACAGCGCGATTGGCGTAGAGCACGAGTGCCACGCATTGTCTCTGACGGTGGGAGGACACCTCCGGGTGTTCAATGGTTTGCTACTGCCCGCCTCAAGCCAGGCAGCCCCTGGTCAAATTGGTGCAAACCCGCCAAAAACCCATCTGCGTCTGGCCGTGGTCGCAGGTGCGTATCCAATTACGGTCGCAAAACATATGATAATTGTTCCAGAACCTCAAAGGCTGCGTGTGACCGCCGTCAAGCAGATCCCAATCTGTCTCTGCAATCACATTCCCGAGCTGGATCTGCTCCCCACTGCCTTGTGGGTCAGGCTATTGAGCCAAAGGCTCCGAGTGGAGTCCCTCAAGCAAACCTCCAAACCACCCACTGCCTTGTGGGTTAGGCTATTGAGCCAAAGGCTCCGGGTGGAGTCCCTCAAGCAAACCTCCGAAGCACAACGACTACCTCGTGTGCGATTGCTCACCAATGCAATCGTATGCCTGCGCGCAAAGCACTCAGCATCGGGTGCTGGAACGTGCGCACACTACTGGACCGGAAATCTAGCGAGCGCCCGGAGCGACGCACTGCACTGGTCGCAATGGAGCTGGCGCGCTACCACATCAATATTGCGGCGCTCAGTGAAACTCAGGTCGCTGAGCAAGGTAAGTTACATGAAGCAGGTGTTGGCTACACATTCTATTGGATGGGGAACGCCGTCTCAGCACCACGTGGACATGGGGTCGGATTTGCAATATCCGATCGCCTAAATGCCCAGCTGGTGGGTGAACCAACGGGCATCAGCGCGCGACTGATGACTGTTCGCCTACGACTCGGAAGAGGTAAGTTTGCTACTTTTATAAGCACGTACGGTCCCACCATGAGTTATCCTGATGACACGCGTGATCAGTTCTACACCGAGCTATCCTCCGTGATACGGTGTGTGCCGAGGAGCGACCGACTATTTCTGCTGGGTGATTTCAACGCGCGCGTTGGGCGTGATGCATCGGTGTGGACAGATGTTATCGGTGCGCATGGCATTGGTTCAGCGAATGCGAACGGTGACAGGCTACTCTCACTGTGTGCCACTCACGTCCTGACAATCACGAATACTCGGTTTGCACTGAGTGCTAGTGATATAGCACCTTGGACGCACCCACTGAGTGGTCACGCTCACCTGCTCGATTATGTCATCGTACGTCAGCGTGATATGCGTGAAATGCGCATGACACGTGTACTGCGTGGAGCTGAGTGTGGCACTGATCACAAATTGGTGCGGACCAAACTATACATATATTTTCGTAAATCTATGTATTGCACTCCCGCCGTGAATCGGCGTAAATTTAACATTCTCTCCCTCGGTACTGTGGCGAAACGTATTGAGCTGGAGAAGGCGATGGCTGCACGCCTGTGTGATGTGGAATGCATAGCCACAGTGGGCGACCTGTGGCACCACATTCGCGATCAGGTGACAGCTGCTGCCGAGGAGACCATCGGGCGCGCAAACTGTAAGCGGCCTGATTGGTTTGATGAGAACAATGCGACGATTGGACGCATTGGTGTCTGATAAGAATGCAGTATTTGCTGCACATGTTGCAGACCCCAGTGACTTGGGGAAGAGTAGTCAGTTTCGCAAACTTCGACGGCGACTGACCCGAGAGCTCCGTCGCATTAAAAATGCATGGTGGACGGAGAAGGCGAAGCAGATGGAATGCTACGCCGAACGCCGTCAACACAAGGAATTCTTTGACTCCTTGAAGGCGGTGTATGGACCGAGATTGGAGCCGCTGAGGACACTGATCGATGGTAGTTCAGGCGCTACCTGCACCCAGACTGCAGACATAATGCAGGTCTGGCGGAAACACTTTGACTGTCTCTTGAACAACCGTTCAGAGATCGACTGGCCTACATTGAACGGCCTGAAGCAGCACGATGTGAAGGCGGATCTGGCGGATACGCCGACACTGGATGAGACGCAGAGAGCACTTGCTCAGCTGCGAAACGGCAATGTGTGTTTGCCTGTGAAGGAGTGTGGGCCGGCTCCGTTGATGAAACGTGGTTCCCATCCGCATGCCTCCCGGTCTTATTCCTTCGGGTTTACACTGGATATGGGGTGTGTGGTTGGAGCTGTGGGTGGTGCA